GATGGATGGATGGATGGATGGATGGATGGATGGATGGATGGATGGATGGATAGATAGATAACAGGATGGATAGATAGATAAGAGGACAGAGAGATAGACAGATAGACAGACAGACAGACAGACAGACAGACAGATAGATAGATAACAGGATGGATAGATAGATAGATAAGAGGACAGACAGACAGACAGACAGATAGATAGATAGATAGATAGATAGATAGATAGATAGATAGATAGATAGATAGATAGATAGATAGATAGATAGATAGATAGACAGACAGACAGACAGACAGATAGATAGATAAAAAAATATAACACCTCATACTGGTCATAGGCAAACATGCTGGCCCACCACGCTCTCATCTCTGGGTTAGTGAAGTCAGGATAGCCTGAATTACCTTCAGAGGAAAACAGAGCATTTCAGCAGTTTCACATTGATGTCAACAGGTGAGCAGATACCACATCACACAACACCACAGCCTCAAAACATTATGCGGTTCTGAGTGTGCCTCACACAGGTGAGTGGGCTTGACAAACCACCTGTAGAAAACACACTCTCTCATCTCAATAACTGACACTTGTTTTAGACCTGACACTCTTAAAATCAATCAATATCTAAAAAAAAAATACATTGTGCATTTATGAAGTGAGCTTCACAGTGGCGAGTGGGCTGGACAAACCACCAGTAGAAACACTAATCTCTCTCTATAAAAGTAAAAACACTCCCCCCTCCTTACTCTAGCACTTAATTCTCTGAGCTCTAACAGTTCCTTACCATTTCATTTTGTTTAATCGCTTAACAAAAAAAAAAGTGTTAGCTAAATGACTAAACGTAAGTGTACACACCTGGCCAACACCAGCCCTCATAGTCTCCTCCATCTTTGTTCTTGACATAAAAGTTCTTGGAGCGGATCTCGTTGTGAATCCTGTAGCCGCTGTCCACCCTAATGTGAGGATCCACAATGGCCACTAGCTGAGGACACAAACACAACGTCAAGATTTAATACAACATTTTGAGCTGAGTTACTTGCTGAATGCTTTAATGTTTTAAACTATATAAACGGCTTATTTAGTAGCAATAAAATTCATAAGCATAATGACATATTAGGGTAATTTGAGTGATTATCTCGATGATTTTACTGCATACTGTTACATTGAGAGCATGGATTACTTCCAGGATTTTTAGTAGCTTGCAATTTGACATTAAATGCTGCCGTGAAATAGAAGATGTCACTAATCAGATTTAAAAGCTGAAATATGGTGTGAAAAGTGCCATTTTGAATCAATAAAACTAGAAATGGGGAAAACAAAACAATGTGGGACTTAATTTTTTCATTGGTTTTTGATAGGATAGTAAAATGCACGAGATTGGATGCATGATGCTGCGCTCACACCAGACGCAGAATGCGCATCAAGCGCGGGTGATTTACATGTTAAGTTAATGTAAATGCGCAAATAGACATCCTGCAGCGTGATACGCACGAATGGCGCGGCATGAATGACACGAACTGTTCGATGCGAATGCCGCGGTACACGCGAATGGCGTTTTGCGCGTTTGACGTGTGAATGAATGGCGGAAGAAAGTAGTTCCGCATACAACAGGGTTTTGAGACTCTCCGTGTTTGGTTTTCTTTTTTATATACACGATTATGCCGTCGAACTGTTGTATAAACGCAGTATCACACTTGTAGCAGTGTGATGTGGCTATATATCAGCACTGGTGAAACACTAAGTCCCACTGGCCTTCCACCAGTGCCGATATAAAGCCACATTGCATCGCTACAAGTGTGATATTGCTCATTTACACACACACTATCTTATACACGTTATGCGTTACGCTATGTGTATACTTTTTAGTTGCATAACTCACAGGGCTTAATTGTCATCACACACACACACACACAAACCTTGCGTCTCTTGTCCATCAGCCCCTTCAGCATGTCTTTAGGTGTAGGGAATTTGATGGGGTCCCAGGTGAAGTAGCGTTTTCCATCCGCATGTTCAATGTCCAGCCAGATGAAGTCATACGGGATGTCGTGCTCATCGAAGCCCTGATCCACAGCCTTTACGTCCTCCTGATCATTATAGTTCCAGCGGCACTGATGATACGCCAGCGCCGACAGAGGAGGAAAAGACTGCGTGCCTGATGGAAAAAACATTATTCCCCACATTTACGAGTAAAGGAAACCACTTAAAATAAGCAGAGAATAAACATTATGGTAACACTTTAAGTTAAATAAATTCAGACCATTTCCTACTGGCATATTATTAAGATATTAACTGTTTATTAGAACTTATAAACTGTGATCTTACTTTACATCCCTAAGCCTACCCAATACCCTAAACCCAACTACCACCTTAATAACTATTAATAAGCTGCAAATTGGTACTTTATTGGGTTAAAAGTTTTACTTAATGGTTTGTTAATAGCGTGAATTGTACATTACAATAAAGTGTGACCAACATTATTATACCACTAGTATATTTACTGCTTGTCTGGTGATGTCATGACTATATAGAGACTCTATTTATAATGCATCATAAGTACATTATCATGAAAAATCTAATAAAAAAATAAAATTTTCACAACAATTAAATCACAATTAAACAATGCTACATCATTTCTTTATTTTACTAATAATAAAATAGCATTTGGTTTTACCAAATTCATTACCCATGTAGGAGAAAAGCATTTAGAAGGTAGCATTATAGACACAAAGACACTAGAAATTATATCAAAATGCTTTTATCCAACATGGTCAACTGTATTTTGATGTTTTTGAACACAAGTGCATGTGATTTTACATGCTTATTTGTGTTCTTATTCTGAAAAGAAGCAAATATACATATGCAACACACATGCATGCATTACAGTGAATAACGAACACTTGTTTATTTGTAGTTATGATTATTTATCATAAGGTTGTTTATAAGGAATTATACACATTATTATGCATTATAAATACCCGTACCAGATAGATTATGAAATTATAATGCTTTACAGTAATGTTCAAAATTATTAAACTATTAGTCTAATATTTTTTTTATTCTTTCTCAAGTCTCCTGACCCTCTGACTGTTCTTTTAGTTATCTTCCTACCCCAACTACACAAACACCAACACGCTGCGTCATTGCCTTTACCGCCTTGCTCGCAAGACGTGCAACTCTCCTTAAATTGAAACGTGTCCCCTCCATCATCAGAACACTGGATTAAAGAGGGTCTACACTGCATCTGTCTTGAGAAACTGAAACATTGTTTTAAAGGATCACTGATGATGAAAGACTACCATACTGTCTGTCATTGAGGACCTTAACATTTCAGGACCTGCTGACTGCACTGCAAAAAATGCTTTTCTTACTATGTTTTTTGTCTTGTTTCTAGTCCAAATATCTTAAAATTCCTAAATCAAGAAGCATTTTCTAGACAAGAAAAACATATAGTCTTGTTTTCAGAAATAATATGCCAAAATTAGGTGAGTTTTTCCTTAAAACAAGTAAAATAATCTGCCAATGGGGTAAGCTAAAATATTCTTACGTCAAAAGAAAAAACAAGATTAATTTGCTTACCCCACTGGCAGATTATTTTACTTGTTTTAAGGAAAAACTAACTTAATATTGGCATTTTATTTCTCAAAACAAGCCTATATGTTTTGCTTGTCTAGAAAATGCTTCTTGATATAAGAAATTTTAGATATTTAGACTAGAAACAAGACCAAAAATCTAAGCAAGAAAAGCATTTTTTGCAGTGTAGAATTTCAAAAGGGAGAAAGAGACTTTTAGCATTTACTTTACATTTTCCTCTTCTATATTTACCCATATATTTATTGTATCTTTTTATTTATTTATTTATGCATTTATTCAATTGGCTTATTATTTATTTATCTGTCTCTTGATTCATCTTTGTGTACTTATTAAAGGTAACAGAAAATAGGGAGGGGTGGAAGATGGGAGTGATGGTGCTTAGAAGGGGGTAGAAAAGTGTATGTTGGATTTAAGAGTTCTACAGTTTTCTTGTTTTAGTTGCTATATATTTGATATATATATCAAATACTATATACAATACAATATATATACAAATAATATATATAGAATACTCACTCATACCAAACGTTCGGCTCACATAACCCCAATCTTGTATGATCTTCATTGGCTCCCGGTTGCATACCGGATTAAATTCAAAATTCTCCTCCTTGCATTTAGATCCTTAAATAACCTTGCACCCTCCTATCTCTGCAACATGCTTGTCCCCTACACCCCAACTCGATTTTTACGGTCTGCTGACTCTGGCCTTCTTGCTGTGATCATTTAGTGTTATTGCACCCAAACTCTGGAACTCTCTACCACACTCACTCTGCTCTGCTAATAATATCTCTGAATTCAAATCCTTACTTAAGACTCACTAATTTTCTGAATGCTTCGCATCTGATCTGCCAAACTGACCACTTAATCTGATCCACCACTACCCTGCTCATATGCCTCTTAGGTCTTGTTTGTGTTATTCAAGTTTGTTATATTTGACCTCATGTATGTTTGTTTATCTTTTTGTTGCATTCCTTGTAAAGTGTCCTTGAGCTCTGGAAAGGCGCTATATAAATAAAAATTATTATTATTATTATTATCTTTTTGCTGATAGGACTTCTATTTTTCATATACATTTATAAGTTTTGTATATTATCTGGGGAAAAAAATGCAATAAAAATATTTAAAGGGTCACGAAACACCAAAACACATGTTTTGAGCTGTTGACAGTCGTATATGTGTCCCACACTGCTATAAACACTATGAGGACACCTATATTTCACTAAAAAGTGTAAATTGGTTGTTTTTGCGTTATTTCAAGCTAATTTTTACTTCCAGTTTGAAACGAATTTTTGAAGCTGCGTCACGGTCATGAGATAATAGCGTGTATTCCAGCATGCAGACTGGACGCCTGTGCCAGAGTGAGTCTTATTACGTCTTACAGTGTGATGCATTAATGTATGAGTAAGGCTTGGTTCAAACCAATCAGCGCGCTCTATTGTGCAACTTCATTAATATTCATTACTGTCACAGTGTAGACGGCAAAGACGCCACGTTGTGTTGGCAAAACAAGCGTGAAGTGTTGCTTTTATAGTTTGCTGCAGTGAAGTTTAGTTTTCATTTTCTCTCTGTGAGAGCTCATCTGGAGTCACGTGTGGATTAACAGTGTACGCGACGCGCGATATAATAAGTTACGTGTCTAAGGAGGATTATTGTTTACCTGAGAGCTGTTCTCATCTGCAAACGCTGAGATCCGGATTCGCTGCTCGTCTCCTCTTAATAAAGACGCGGCTCTAGTTGCTGGTGATTGTCCTGTCTCTACAGATTTGGTAAGTGAGCGACCAGCGCTCTTTGTTTATTCAGTTCGTATTTTATTCGTATCAAACAAACTATTGCAACGAGTGTAAACAAGTTAGCACTAACAGTTACAACCAAACTATAACCTCGTGTTGGATTTAGTGACCGGAATAACACAAGCTGCTTTCTGACGCTACCTGCCGTGTGCATCTAAGTTTCCGGGAAATGCTGAGTTTTTTTTCTCTCATTCGCCGTGCGGTATCAAACATTGCGTGAAAAATACACACTTAGAGCAGCTCCTCAAATCAAATATCTGGTTTGTCGTGAGGGGCATGAATGAATTCCCTTAATGAAAGAGCCAAACTGCAGTTAAAGTCCACCATTTAATAATTTGGCAAATAATTCGACTACAGATGTCCATGTAAACACAGTCACATTTTCCGCTGTGGTTTTGTGTTTTGACTCTGAAATTCAGCGTGCCCAAATAGACACTCCCACACCAAGCCTCTTTAGTTCCTCCGACACTCCCCCCTAAACAGAGCTGGACACGCCCACTTTTCTGACTTTTTCCAAAGTAGAGGTGTGAAAAAACCCTGCTGAAACGAGGGGGTTTCAAGGCCCTTTAAAATAATGCAAACACAGGCTTCATAGAAAGTGTTCCCAATTTTTTGTTTATGCATGTTCTAACTATATATGAAAATCTATGAATGAGATTTAAGAGTAGGAAACAGTATGTAAAAATGTATGCAAAAATACATGTACCATACGGTTTTGAAATACATGAGTAAGCAACGGAGTTGTAGTTCACTCAGACCAAGGGAATGGTGCTTTTAAATTGAATATATAATGATAAATACATTGAAATCATACATTTTTTAACTGTGCCGTGGCACTTTGTACACATAGACATCACCTATATGCTATATAACTGCAGGATAACTAGGTTTATATATAATAACCTTAATTGTTAAAAGCTATAACTTACTCGTTCATTAAAGTTATTAGTAACTAATAAATCTATGGTAACTAATAACCTTAACCTTTCTGAATTTGATTGTAATGCAATAATGTGTGCAGTTCGTAAAGCTGCTTTGAAATAATCACTATTGTATAAAGCGCTATACAAATACACTAGAATTGAATTGAATTTAACTAGTGCGTATGCGTACCTGTAAGTGAGGCGTACTGAGTGAAGACATCTGCAGGTTTTGGTCCCAGCATGATAAAGACATCAATAATACCGCTCTCAGAAACCCAGCGGACATTCGTCTGAGGAGCGTCACTAGACACCTGCACAAAGTCCAGCATTTTCACAAACATTGTCTGATGAACAATGAAGTCACATGCGTTGCTCAGGTGTGAGTTTCTCACAGACTTCAACAGAGGGTCAAAATCTTGATGGTTCTGTGGATCTCGTCTATCAAATCTGAGCTTTATTTCGTATTCTCGATTGGATTCGGATCAGACATACTTTAAGAATATGAACTTCGAGATTACTTCACACTGAGAGAATAAAAAAAAATCTTCGTCAAGAGTTGCTGAAGAACTACTGAGAGATTTCAGCTGCTGTCTGGGCTTTCACTGCCTTTCTACACCTCCCTTTCTTCATGTGTTCAATAGCTTTTCCCACCTGTCCTTTCATTTTATAACATATACCTTTATTTCTAAATGACTTAGTTGTGTGTTCGTGGCATATATAGGCCCCGTTTACACTAGTGCGTTTTAGTTTTAAAACGGCGTTGTAGAATGAAAACGATCCGCGTCCACACTCGCGTTTTACCCAGCGTTTCTGAACTGCTCTCCGTCCACACCAAAACGCTGAAAACACACATCACGTGACCACACACACACGCTCTCGGGCAAGCGCTGCAGCCCATCTACCCAGATGAGAGCTCTGCTAGTCGGACTGCTCATCAAGCATCTCCCGCTGGATCTAATCTCACTATATTTATTAAACGTGATATTTCATTCATCTTGTTGTCTTTATCTAACGACATAGGCCAATTCCCTGACTTTGGTCATTGGAATCTATTAAGTTACTTGTTCACGGGTAACATGTTTTGGTCAAGCGCAAATATAAGTTAATGATTAATCCAGGTACATTGACTGATCGCTCGTCTTTATTTCCTACAATGTATAAACTTATTGTATGTTATACTTTTATAATTGTCGATTATTAAAACTGATATTCAGCAAAAGAGAGGGTGCGTTTCGTATTTTCACTGAAATTGAAAGGAGGCAGTTGTTATCGGCTCCGTTTTGTTATAAATATCCACACAGTGAAGATGACGCTCATATATGCAGCACGACGCCTCAACATTTCTGCTGTCTGTTAAGTTTTCTAATATTAAAAAGAAAATAGGCAGTTCCTTAAATCATGTTTACATTTATTGTTGAGAAAGTGAAACAACGTAGCCAAGGTGATGTGAATGAAGTTATAAAGTACACTGTTCCCTTTGAAGATTTACCCGTGTCCTCGGTATGTTTTCCATATCAAACTGAGAAGGGGGAAACTGCAGCCTTGATCAAACTTGCGAAGTCTTAACTTACAAGAAGAGGATGCGAACTGTGTGTGGGCTACTTAATATTGAGGAAAAGCCCCAATCAGATAGGCGAACGTTTGCAGCCCCGCCTCCGTTTTCTGATGTCTCCGTCTTTCCCCATCCACACTGAGACAGAGCAGCAGCGTTTCAGAATGAAAACGGCCTCTCCAGCGTTTTCAAAAAGCTCCGTTTTCGGCGCTCGAGAACTCCGGCGTAGTGTGGACGGATGGCGTAACCGTAGCAAAACTTATGCGTTTTCAAACTAAAACGCACTAGTGTAAACGGGGCCATATTTTTTTTTGATTGTTACCAACATCCGGTAAAAATTTCAAGTCAACAGCACCTTTAGAAATGTTTTCTAAGAAAAATAATGGCATGCTCAATACTCATGTCCTCCACTGTATAAGCAAATAATAGCACTGAAAGACTTTCTGATATGTTTTGTCTATCAATCGTAAGACTGAATCATGCTAGAAATACTTCTAAACAAGTCTGTCTCTAGCATGTAGAAACACCCTGTAAGCATGTTTTGGCATGTTGTAACTAGGGGTGTCAAAATTAATTGTTTCTTCGGTGCACCACGATGCAGACGCAGACAATTCGGTATCGATTCAGTAATAACCATAACCGGTTATTATGTACTGACGTCATTTATCTCCTATGCGCTCGGTCGCGAGGGAGGCGAGCGCCGGTATTTACAACACACAGGAGCCAACTCAGGGCCGGCCCGTGGCATAGGCACCATAGGCAAATGCTTAGGGCGCTGTATATCCAGTGGGGCGCCAGAAATGAGCGTGGTTCAGTTGGTTTTGTTTTCGATTTTCCTGACACACTTTCAGTTATAGACGGCAATAACTCAAAAACCTCTTACCCTTAAAAGATCTAAAGTGTGTTTCCTACAGAAAGACAAAGCTGGTTATGTTTCACAGCGGTCTTTCTTTTTTTTCGCTCGACATTACGAGCACTGCTCCGTTTAAGCCCTTGCAGTCTGCGTTTACTTTAGACGGCTGAGCTCGCACTGAGAGGAGCTCTCTGTAAGGGACCGTCGGAAAAGTGCTTATTTTTTTCGTTTTTTTTTTTCGTTTTTCTGCTCCGCTCAGCGCGAACTCTCCCTGTTGCAAGAGCTTAAGTGTGTTTGTTTGTTTGTGTGTGTGTGTGTGTGTGTGTGTTTGTTTGTTTGTGTGTGTGCGTGTTTGTTTGTTTGATGCTGTCTATGTTTGTGAATGTGTTTGAATGAGAGACAGTGTGGTGCTGTGTGTCTGTGTGTTTATACAGACAGCATGTTATAGCCTCCCCCCTAAAATATAATACTATATATGGAAAGCATCGTTGATGCACCGAGATATCGAATTGAACCGAATCGATGGCATGATAATCGTAACCGAACCGTGAGACCAGTATAGGTTCACACCTCTAGTTGTAACCACGATTCAGCACATTGGTAACATGTTAAACGTGTTAAAACAGTGTGCTATATCATATCAGGTTGACTCACCGTGTCTGGAGAGTTTGAGCTGATATCCACCCATGTTTCTGCGGCGTTGAGCCAGAAGATGCCCATGGTGCGCTCAGTGCTGTGAGAAATGAGGACAGGAACGGCCCCGTAAAGAGCCATTGGGTTGTGCAGCTCATACTGAAAGACATCCAGGTTGTACAGCCGATAAGGGTCTGAATTTCTGAAGCGAAAAAAACATCATGGTCGATTCAATAACTGATATCTCTTCTATACAAGTCAATAAACGTCAATCCTGGTTAAAAGATCTTAAAGGGTCACGAAACACCAAAACACATGTTTTGAGCTGTTGACAGTCGTATATGTGTCCCACACTGCTAAAAACACTATTAGGATACCTATATTTCACTAAAAAGTGTAAATTGGTTGTTTTTGCGTTATTTCAAGCAAATTCGTACTTCCGGTTTGAAACTAATTTTTGAAGCTGCGTCACGGTCATGACATAATAGCGTGTATTCCAGCGTGCAGACTGGACATCTGTGCCAGAGTGAGTCTTATTACGTCTTACAGTGTGCTGCATTAATGCATGAGTAAAGCTTGGTTCAAACCAATCAGCACGCTCTATTGTGCAACTTCATTAATATTCATTGCTGTGTTTACACGACAGAGACGCCACGTTGTGTTGGCAAAACAAGGGTGAAGTGTTGCTTTTATAGTTTGCTGCCGTTAAGTTTCGTTTTCTTTTTCTCTCTGTGAGAGCTCATCTGGAGTCACGTGTGGATTAACAGTGTACGCGACGCTCGACAACAATAACTTACGTGTCTAAGGAGGATTATTGCCTACCTGAGAGCTTTTCTCATCTGCAAATGCCGAGATCGGATACGCTTGTAGTCTCCTCTTAATAAAGACGCGGCTCTAGTTGCTGTGGATTGTCCTGTTTCTACAGATTTGGTAAGTGAGCGACCAGTGCTCTTTGTTTATTCAGTTTGTTCGTATCGAACTTAGTTAACTATTGCACTGTAACATGTTAGGACCACAACCAAACTTTAACCTTGTGTAGGGTTTTTACCGCATTTAGTGACCGGAATAACACACGCGGCTTTCTGACGCTACCTGCCGTGTGCATCTAAGTTTCCGGAAAATGCTGAGTTTTTTTTCTCTCATTCGCCGTGCGGTATCAAACATTGCATGAAAAATACACGCTTAGAGCAGCTCCTCGAATCAAATATCTCGTTTGTCGCAAGGGGCATGAATGAATTCCCTGAATGAAAGAGCCAAACTGCAGTTAAAGTCCACCATTTAATAATTTGGCAAATAATTCGACTACAGATGTCCATGTAGGTTAAACACCATCACTTTCTACTGCGTGTGAGTATTTTGACTGAAACTCGAGCGTGCCCAAATAGACACTCCCACACCATGCCACTTTAGTTCCTCCGACACTCCCCCCTAAACAGAGCTGGACACGCCCACTTTTCTGACTTTTTCCAAAGTAGAGGTGTGAAAACACCCTGCTGAAACGAGGGGGATTCATGGCCCTTTAAGCTTGATTACGAAAACAAAATGCAAGGAAATATAGTGAACAACTGATTTTATTGATCTCTTATTTTATCTCTTTATCTCCTTTTTTTTTTATTTAACTCTGACCACATCTCTAGAACTGCTCGATCGTGAAGATTTGCACTCTACAACATGTAGCTCGACTCCTTGTTCAAGCACTTGTTCTCTCCAGACTGGACTATTTCAGCTCGCTACTCTTTTACAGTGTTTGTGATGATTGAGATGCAGCTCAACAGATGCTTCATCAGACAAATCCACCTTCTTTCTAAATGATCAACTAGAAGTTAAGTTATTATTGGTTGCTCTTACAACTGGAATCCATGACAAGACTTTTGTCAGGGAGTGTATATTGCAGAATAAAAAAAATTTGCAGTTTTAGATTTGTCCAGTATCATGCAGCCCTAAATGAGACCACAGATCATTGCAGTAATTAAGAACAATTTGTGTAACTCACTCTGTGCTCTTCAGTCTGAGTGTGTCTGCGTGTTCGGGAATGCCGTACACATGCTCCACACCCGGCAGAGAAAAATCTAAACTAATAGATGACGGACCTGAAATGAAATGAAGATTACAGAAGACAAAAAAAGGTTAAACATGACTGCATTACTACATGACATGATATAGAATCAAATAGAAAACGTCAAATAACATGTCAACGTACCATTGGGTTTTGAATCACTATGAGATTTGAAGGTTTCCTCCCACATGCCCGGTTTCTCTTCCTCCTCTTCTTCTTTTATTTGTCCATCCTAAAACATACAATTCTTAAAAATTATAATCCACTACAACAAAAGGAAGCCAGTTTGTATTTGTACAAATATATCAAGCATATCCTAAAGCTCGTGAATGAACACAGTACACTAGCTAGGTCCAAAGAATCTGCATTATAAAGTTCCCATTAGGGCTGAGCAATATATTGTTTGTGCATCGAGTAACCTAATAATCGCAGGATTAGATTTATTAGAGATCAAAATTATTTTTTATTATTGATACAATGATGACCGTGGGGTTTTACATTTGATTCTTCAATTTTTTTGCATTTGAATACTATTAGATTCCCCAGAAACCATAAAGCACTGTTTATTGATATAGTTTTGCTTAATTTATGCAGATCCACTGAACAGAAAAGGACCTGAACATCAAAGTCAATTTAAACTAATGGAATCGCTCTAAATAGAGCTATTTAAATAATCTGGTGAAATTATATTCATGTTGCTATATATATATATATATATATATATATATATATATATATATATATATATATATATATATATATATATATATATATAACTTTATATAAAATAAAAATAAAAATAAATATAAAAAAATCTTTTTTAAAAATAAATAAATAAAATTGGAAAAAAATAAAATAAAAAATAAATAATAATAATAAAAAAAAATACAAAAAAAAAAAACGCAGTAAATCTATTTTATTTATATATAATATTAAAAAATGTAATAATAATAGTGGTGCAGTGGCGCACTGGGTAGCACTGTCGCCTCACAGCAAGACAAGGAGTTTGCATGTTCTCGCCGTGTTGGCGTGGGTTTTCTCTGAGTGCTCTGGTTTCCCCCACAGTCCAAACACATGCGCTTTAGGTGAAATGCATGAACTAAATTGGCCGTAGTGTATGAGTGTGTGTGTGAATGAGTATGTATGGCTGTTTCCTAGTACTGGAAACATTTGCTGAGATAGTTGGTGGTTCATTCTATTGTGGCGACCCCTAGTAAATTAAAGACTGAGGCAAAAGAAATGAATGAATTAATAAACTACTACCAGATTCTAATATGCTATTAGTAAAACATGCACACACACACACCTCACTAGTTTGTTGCTCCTCTTTCTGCTGTCCTGTGGTTTCCTCAGACTCGCTGTTGCTGTAAAGCAGATATTTTTGTATTATTACAAAGACTAGGGGTTAAGAGAATTGGTAAAACAAAAGCAAAAGGAAGTTTTAAAGCGTGGCCACCAATATAACACACTGACAATCAGAACAATATAATATTTGCAATATAGTGTAACACTTTGAATTCATGCATTAAAAATAAATCATTAAATAAAATTAATCACAAATGCAATGTGATTCTCATTAGGCCTGTCACAATAATCAATATATTTATCGCACAACACATGGACATTACTCTTTACCTTGTTAACATGTATTATTATTTATTTAGGCTATGAGTTTTCACATTCTGACTCCAATGCCTGATTATATATGATTAAATAGTTAAAATGACTATAATTTAATGAAACATTCCTTAGAATAAAACATGATGTGTGCACTTTGTCCACCACAGGTAATAAGCAAATCAAAAATTTACTTTTTAGCAAAGTACGGTTTCGAGGTCTGTAAATGTTTATGATCAAGTTTCAAGACCCACAATCAACTGACAGTGCATTTAACAATGTGGGGAAAGCAGAAATCAGCAAAACTAATATGCATTACATCCAAATCAGTGAAAACAATTATCATTAGAATACATTATTTTAGGTACCATACTTACCCTTTTAAATATACAGCAAATATGAAGAGCTCAGATGCAAAAAACCTCCAAGTGCCATCTAAAATTTCCATCAATTTCCATTTTTTTTTCCACAGACTCCTTTCTTTGTTTTACTTTAAAGACCATAAAAAGCACTTGTTCACCATGAAAGTGAAATTACTGAACCTACACAGCCTGATAAACATGCTCATTTTAGAAAAACATTTCAGACGTCATTTAGAGGTTTTTGTATCTGAACCCTTATATACAGCAGGGGGAATAAGTATTGAACACGTCACCATTTTTCCCAGCAAATATATTTCTAAAGGTGTCGTTGACTAGAATTTTTCACCAGATGTTGGTCACAACCAAAGAAATCCATAAATGCAAAGAAAACAAATCTAATACTTAGTTTACAATTAAAAAGAAATGACACTGGAAAAAAAAAACTACTGAACACATGAAGGAAGGTGTAGTTCTGCAGTGAAAGCCCAGACAGCAGCTGAAATCTCTCGGTAGTTCTACTTTAAGCCTTTAAAAGTCCCTTTAAGTTGAATAGAAGTGTCTTAAAAATATCTAGTAAAATATTATTTACTCCGTTATTATTAAATCAGTTATTAGAAATCAGTTATTGAAACTATTATGCTTAGAAATGTGTTGAAAAATGTGCTTAATGTTAAACAGAAAATGGGGAAAAATTTAAAAGGGGGGCTACTAATTCTGACTTCAACTGTATGTAAACACTTAGTCCTTTTGCATAAGTTGCATCTATGCTCTGTTGTCAAAACGGTTGCTGACATATACCTGTCTCTAGTGGGCTGAGAGTCAAGTATAACAGGACCACCTAGAGTAAAAACTTATCCAAGGATGGTTAGAAGTTAAATCGAGACACCAAGGGGTGGCGCACAAATCTGTATAAATATTGTGAAAACCACAGACACTTTAGGAATTGTCCAGAGGAGACTTCAGAATGCTGTGAGGTCTGCTCTGCACTTTCTCGGCTTTATTATAGAGGAAAAAAAAGTCTATTTTTCTGGTATCTAAAAACCTCCAGTCTCCAGTGTCTCATTGATAAAAAGGTCGGCAACTATGACAAATATAAGAAGGTTGGCAATTACGACAAATGGCACCCAACGTGGGGCTCGAAACGACACCCTTTGCTCTTCCTCAGTGTAAATGAATATCAGCTGCTTCAGTCCAACATTTACATTAGCAGGAGGATGAAGATGAGCACAATGAAGACAATGATCCAAAACACAGCCGAGGAGACTCTCAGATGCTTTCAGAGAAAGAAAATCAAGCTGTAGAATGGCCCGGCCAATCACCTGATACGAATCCAATAGAGAATACAAAATAAAGCTCAGATTTGATAGACGAGACCCACAGAATCATCAAGATTTTGACACTCTGTTGAAGTCTGTGAGAAACTCACACCTGAGCAATGCATGAGACTTCATTCTCCATATGAGAGGCGTCTTTAAGCTGCAGCACCAAACAAGCCTTTTATATAAAGTATTAAATACATTCTGTAGTTCAGCACTTTCTCCTTGTGTTATTTTATTGTTATTACACATATCTCACTTTTCAGATTTATTTGGTTTTATTTTTATATTCGAATTGTTTATGTTTTTACCAAAACCTGCTTTAATTCCATGTCAACAGCTGCTTTATAAATATTTTTCCTAGAATAACATGTTCAATACTTATTTTCCTCACTGTATACACACACACACACACACACATTAATTGCACTCACTTCCACTGATTAAAACAAACAAGGCTAATGCTTAGATTTGAGACTGAATGTGTGATTTTTCACAGTCAAGAACTGGACAAATGGATGTTACCTAGAGAAAACGCTCTTGATCGAGTCCCACATGCTACCAACTGTGCTACTTATTTTATGTGAGATACTGCAGAGCGTGACAGAGGAGAGGAAAGTGGAGGGGGGAAAAAAGGGGGAAGGAAAAGAGAATGTGATGAGAATTGATCAAAGAAATAACATTTACAAACATACTTCTGAGTATAACTGATCTACACATCCTAGAACGCAATATTTCAATATTTAGCCTGATGACAATTTTACTGTGAACACATTTAAAGAATAACATGACATCACATTCATAATATACACCCACACACATTTAAAATGACTCTTTCTTTTTAATAATAATGCAGAAATTGTTCAGGTCAAACCTAGAAGGGATCAACGCCATTTCCAAATGCTCCATGTAGTCAGTACTAACTAGTTTGCATGCATTCCTGGACTTTGTAATCTAAATAACTTTATGATTGAAAATTATTAGCCCTCTCGTGAAACTGTAATTATTTTTCATGTTTCCCAAGTGAGGTTTAATCAGGGTTTCTACAGGTTGTATCAAGTCGAATTTAAGACTTTTAAGACCATTTTAGGACCATAATTTTTACATGGACATTGAGACCCGTTTAAAATTAAGACCAACAACACAATATTTTAGTGGATTTGTTTTTTGAAATTTGAAACATTAAGGGTGCTTTCACACCTACACTTTTGTCAGGAACGTGTCTCGTTTGCCCAGTTAGCGCGGTTCGTTTGGCATATGTGAACAGGGCAATTGCGCTCTGTTCCGCGCCAAAGTAATCGCTCCGAGATCGCTTGAATGAGGTGGTCTCGGCTCGATTGAAACGAACCCTGGAGCGGTTCGATTGTGGTGAGAAAGCGATCCGATCCGAGCGCGGTTATATCACAGTGTTTTATGGATATGTAATAGGCATACGGCTATATGAAGAGAGAATTATGAGTAGGGCGGGAAGTTTCGCGAGTCTCTGGATGCCCGCAAATGAGTGATGATCTCCCGGTTATCTCGTGTCTCCCTCCCGGTCCTCAAATAGGCATCGTCGCGCACCCTTCTCACCCCTCCCCACCGCATCTCTCCTCAGACACGTCGCGCGCGCACCCTGTCAATCACCACCAAACCACCACCTCTCCTGACAGCTGAGCGGGACGCTGCAAAATAAACCCTGACACTCTGACCAATGTGAGGAGAGTTTACTCGCACGTGACTCAGGCACGTGCACACATAGGTCCACATGCCCTTTTTAGTCTTGGATAGAAAGTGCCCTTCCAACGTGAAATGTTTTAGCTCTTTTGGTCCGATTATAAACTTTGCAGTGTGAAAGTGAACCGCTCCAAGAGCAAAGAGCAACAATGTAACAATTGTAATCTCTGTTTCGGAACAACTGAATCGATACACAGGTGTGAAAGCACCCTAAGACTTAAGGACCCCGCGTATACCCTGTTAACAGAGAGAACATATTTTTAATATCTAATTTCTTTTGTGTTGATGGTGTATAAAAGTTTGCAAGATACTACACTGTAAGGGCCCACTCACACACGTGCCCAGGCTTGTTTCCCGGATCGTTTGAGAAGTGAGAGTGCGCTGAATCGGGCTCAGGCACGGTTCACTTGGCCCAGTTGGAAGAGGTGTGCCTCAGCGCGGTTCACTTGGGCTTTGGCGCGGTTCACTTGTGTGAGTACTGTTGTATAAACGCAATATCACACTCGTAGCAGTGCGATATGGCTGTATATCAGCACTGGTTGGGGCACTAAGGCACGAGGCCGCAATGCACGCCTCCCACCAGTGCCGATATACAGCCATATCTCACTGCTACTGGTGTGATATTGCTCATATATATATATATATATATATATATATATATATATATATATATATATATATATATATATATATATATAACAGGTTTGGCACAAGTGGAAAGTTATATTATTTTTTAGGTGAACTTTCCCTTTAAGAACACATCTCTGTGTGGCTACTAAGGACTGCTAATAGCACAAAAAGACTTAGAAATGGAGAGAAAAAAGTACACAGTGAACCAGAAATAGAGCCCAGGAAAGCAGTATTCTTAGGTTTTTGATAATAGACAGCGTCCTTTAATCTTAAAGGGATAGTTCACCCAAGAAGTGAAGACTGACTTACTATTTATTCATGCTCAGTCATGTCCAAATCTTATTTCTGTTGAACACTACAGAAGATATTGTGAAGAAAGCTGAAACTATTGACTTTCATAGAATAAACCAGGGTTTCGCAACTCTGTTCCTGAAGGCACACCAACAGTACACATTTGCAACCTCTTCCTACTTAAACACACCTGTATCAAATCATCATTAGAAGACACTAAAAACCTGAAATGAATGGTTCATAAGGGAGACAACCAAAATATGTACTGTTGGTGTGCCTCCGGGAACAGGGTTTGGATAAACAAATACCAGAAGTCACAGGTAACAGGTTTCCAACATTTTTTAAAATATCCTCTTTTGTGTTTAACAGAAGAGAGACAAACAGGTTTGAAACAAGTAAAGGATGAGTAGATCATGACAGATGTTTCAGTTTTGGGTGAACTATCCCAGCTTTCTGAATGTGCCAGTTGTTGTGTGTGATTTGGACTCACGTGTCCTTGCGCACCCGCAGGTGCTCGAAGGCCAGCAGGCCCCTGGAGTTGAGGGACATGAGCACCTGAGGGCCCTCGATGATGTCCAGGCGAAATGGCTGAGCGCTGACGATGAGCCGCTGCTCGTTTCCACCCAGAGACAAAACAAGACTGTTGTCATCCTGAGACACCACGGACAGCCTGAGGACACACGTACACACAAACACTAGTCGGCTGACAACTCGCAAGCAGGAAAACACATCTTATTAAAACATTTATTCCATTGAGAAAATACTACAATACTATTACATACAGCTGAGTAATGTAATGTATTTTTTATTTATTGCCATGTCAGCAACCAAGGCTATCTTCATGGCAGGAATCTTTCAACAATAAATATACAATTTAAAAATCAACAAACAAAATAAAACATAAATTAAATAAGATTTTTTGTGTTAATGCATGATAAAAATTCTAAAATCTTTTCTGGTTCCACTTTGTCAAAAATGTCCTTAAAAGAGTTCATTTCATAAAAAGTCCTTCTGGAATCAGTAAAAGCAGGACAGTCCAGTAAAATATGTTTTACAGTAATAGGAGTTTTGCAGCACAAACACTGAGGGGGGTTTTCACCTTGGAGCAAAAAACCATGTGTAATTCTCGTATGCCCAATACGGCATCTGGTAAAAACTACTTGATCAAATCGATTCTTAAAATGTCTTAAAATTCTGTGTGAAACTTCAGGTTGGATTTCATGTAGTTTATTGTTTTCTAATACAGCCCATTCCTTTTGCCACTTGTTTAAAATGTAAGCGTTGATAAAAGGTTTCATCTCTGACGGAGGAATTTGGCATTTGTTCACTACTTGCGTCAAAGCATCTTTAGCAGCTGCATCAGCTCGCTCATTTCCTAAAAGTCCGACATGTCCTGGAACCCAGCAAAAAATGATGTGATGAAACTGATTTTGTAGTTGGTGAACTTTTACATACAGCTGAAGTCAGAATTATTCCCCCTCCTGTGCAATATTTAATCTTTTTCAAATATTTCCCAAATGATGGTTAATAGAGCAAGGAATGTCTCACAGTATTTCCTAGAATATTTTTTCTTCTGTAGAAAGTGTTTTATTTTGGCTAGTTTTCTATTTTTTTTAAACCGTTTTAGGATCAAAATTATTAGCAGTTTTAATTAAGGTGTTATGACAAAGAGTGGTATTTGCGATTACATATTCATTCTACAAAAAGATGTTTTGTAACCATGTCTGCTTGTTCATTACGGATTCATTTTAACCTACTGTTAATTTAACAAGCAAATTCATGTTCCTTCTGTTCATTTGGTTTCATTTTAAAATGAACGGTCGTGACTGTTAACAAATGTCTGGTTGTTTTCATCTACATAGTAAAAGCAGCCGAGTTATTCCATGCAAATGTTAACCTTGCCATGAAAAAATAAAGTTTTCACCAAAATAGAGAATCCGTTTGTAGGTTTTTCTGTAGGCTTGTATTTTACAGTACTTTAAAAATACTGTAAAAATGTCTCTGTCAATGTTTTTAAATAACTGTATTTGATTTACCAAAGCTACACAAGTGCCAATTTCACATGTTACATCCATAATGCTGCGTTCACACCAGACGCCGAACCCGCGTCAAGCGCGAGTGATTTACATGTTAAATCAATGCAAACGCGCGAATAAACATCATGCGGCGCGATACGCGCGAATGGCGCGGCACAAATGACTCGAATTCCACGAATGGCGCGGTGCGAATGGTGCGATACACTCGAATGGCGCAGTGCGAATTGAGCGTTTTGCGCGTTTGACGCGCTTATCGCACGTTTCACGCGAATCACTCAAGTTCGAAAATTTGAACTTCAGGAGACATTCGCGCCGCGTTAACCAATCAGGAGCTTGCTCTTGTGGGGGCGTGATTGTGACGCATCACCTGTTGTGGGTGTCCCAGGGGAAATCCTCCAGCCGACACCGACAACAATTCATCAAATTGGGCTGGGCTCCGTCAGCCAGGCTCAGTTTCTGGAGGAGTGTATGAGCTCACAGAGCTGGATGCACATCTGAAAAGATGTAGTGGACTCAGACACGGCCCTAAACGTATCAACGATGGGTTTTTTTTTCAGCCTTCATAAAGCACATAAACACTGTTATTTTCTTCATAAAATCCATGTTAGCTATTTAGCAATGAAGCTAGAGTCACCGGGCAGACAGAAGCCCTGCCCATCACCCGAATCCGCGTCTGTTCTGAAGTGAATTTGACGTGCGGATGAAGCGGATTTGACACGCAAATGAAGCGAGTAACCTTAAAAGTTCACGCGGCTATTTACGCGAAAATAGCGTGATTTATCCGCGCGTTCCGCATTTGGTGTGAACACAGCATTACAAAGCCTTTTACTAATAAATGCAAAAATGTCAAATAAAATAAATAATGTTTGATCTACAGCTGTGATTCTGAAACTGAATTCTTACTGTTCAGTGAACGCAAACTGCCGTAGTTTATTAAAGACGCAAACCGCTCACTGCACCTTCAGCAAACCTCCTCATTGCCGCAGCACGAGGGCTTTATGATTGTTTATGAGCGTCAAAAGTGGTTGATCTGTTTGGTGAAATATCTGACAGCGTGTCACTGCAACCTTATTCACACAGGGCATCAGCGTCAACACTTCCCATTCACTTTGAATGGGTGACGTCAGGCGTTGCCGAACTGCATTGTGGATCCGTCGGCGCCGCTTCAGAGGCGTTGCTTGCTGCAGAAGTTGGGACTAGCTCAACTTTTCAAGCGCCGACGGAAGCGTCTGCCAATCAGATCGCTGTATGCAAATACACCAGCTAGACATTGGCCTATTGCTGACTGAATTTCATTGGCTGACGTTGCTATGACAATCACTTCAGCCCCAACTTCAGACATAACTCTGGAATCGCTCAGTTGTGATGATGAGAGACAAACTTGACTCACGCTTCAGTAATGGGATCAGAGATGAGCACATCTGGCACCTCATAACGAGGCTTGATTGGTTTGAGTTCATTAATCTTCACCCGTGTCATGTTCCCCTGCAGTCTGTACAGCTCCAGCAACAAGCGGACCTGCAAACAAACACAAGACTCAATTCTTAAAATCTCCATGGCTTTAAGAGTTTCCTGCTTCAGACTGTTGCCTGGAACCATAGACTGCCATGGTTCCGTTTTTTTTTTTTTTAGAAGTTAATGGTTACCATCCACTATATGGCAAGCAACATTCTTCAGAGTATCTTCTTTTAGGTTCAATGTAAAAAAAAAAACACACAGTTAACAGTGAGTATTTTTATGAGTTTCTTTAATCTGTTAAACACAAAATAAGATGTTTTTAAGAAAGCTGAAAACCTGTAACCATTGGCTTCCATAAAATTAGTTTATCATAGTGGGAAAAACAAATACTATGACAGTCAGTGGTTACAGGTTTCTTTAGAATATCTTGAATTGTGTTCAGAAGAAAAAGTTTTGAACTAGTGTAGAAGTGATGACTATTTTTAAATTAAGTGAACTATTCCTTTAAAAGCTGCTATATATTAGCACCCTTAACCCTCTCAAGGCTGGAATGCAGATTTGCAATGGTTAAAAATTAAACACCTTATTACTCCAGATACATATTTTATGAGTTTTTTTACTCAGAAGTACCACTGCAGGACTTGGTTGTCCATTTGCAACAAACAGTTTCCCCACTTGCACACCAGATGACACACACAAGAAAAAAGTTTCTTGGAGTACCACATGACAAAGTGACTTGGAAACATGACCTACTCGATGAGGATTTGAGATACTAGATTTGAATCCCATATTGTTTTTGTTATTGTTCTGCCACAGAAAAGCAATTTGTTACATTGTTTGAAAAGTTGTATATAAAAAATTATTGTTCATATCATATTCAGTCGTCAGTGTCTAATTACCACACTGAGCTAATGTTGCAAATCTGCAACATCCCAGAACGCCTTGCATGTGAAGGTCTCTCTAAAAAAAAAAAAAAAGTCAGGATTCTGTTGTACTACGCCATATGATAATTTTCCCCAAATATCAGATCTTTCCTGTTTCTAAAAATTAATTTGAACCTGAGAGGGTTAAAGGTGCAGTAGGTGATTGTCTTCAGAAATTTTTTTTGCTGTGCTGGTTGAAAGTCTCAGTACATTTCAATAGTAATGATTACAGTAAATGATCTAAATGTGTTTATATGTATTTTTATATTCTGGGTGAGGCATAAGACTAAAAAATGTTCATCCCTTAAAATATTGTCAGGCCGACATCTCCCATAATTCTGATAAGTAGGCCAAACTGTCTGTCAACAAATGTAGATTTGGACTTCCGTGCATCTGATCAGGCAGATCCGCCATTAGCACGTGGCCACCTGCATGAACGCTGTGAGTTCACGATACGTGCACACGAGACAGTCACAGTAGGCTTGGGCGGTGTCCAAATTTTGAGACCGTCAAACCGCCTCCATATTTTATCCCGGTATCCGGTATTACCGGCGTAATAAAAAAAAATATGACGTAAGGCTCAGACAGCGTCACCAAACTGTTGGCTTGAGCCTAAACCATTCAGAAACTGAATACATTCTATGCGACCTTAGGCAGAGAGAGAGAGAGAGAGAGAGAGAGAGAGAGAGAGAGACTTTCTCTGTCTTACACAAACACACACACATCTCTCCCGCGATTTATTCAGAAATTTACTCCCACACCGTAAGAAATCTGGCCGGCTCCCGCGGGAATGCAGAGAGCTGTAATCGGGCCATAAAAATTATACCCGATAGGTCCCGAGTCCGACACGTACATTTTGATTGACAGCTTTATAAAGCCCGAGCCCTTACAGCTCTAATGCATTTTTTCAAGAATGAGTCATTTATATGTTTTAACAGCATTTATTCGTAACAAACGTAGACTATATCCCACTTGAAAGTTGGAACAAAGAAATAAAATAAGTCCTCTGTAACATCGTAACATCTCAGCACTCTATAGGTCTACATGCACTTAGCCTTTAAATTGGCCAACACACCAATGAAAAGAAATCTTGCTTAACAAATCAAATAAACTCTAAATGATGACGGGTATTTTGGCAGTAACTAAATTGAAGCTGAATATTAAAAGAATAATGCCACCATTAGTCTGTATACTCGGTCTACATTATGATTATATGGTTTAATTAATATTTATTTATAATTTAAAACCCTTTATTCACCAAGATTAGGCTACGTGTGTTTGTGGAGGAACATTATTAAATCCACTGGCTTTAGCGCAGTCTTGCGCTCATGTGCGTCCAGCAGCACTGAACACCGTTTCATTGCTGCTGCTACAGGCCGAGATGCAGAGTTCTGATCTGGCTGATTTTGCAAGTTTTAGGTAGGATTGTTTATTCATCTTATACCAGTCAGGAACATCCATTTAATTTTCCATGACCGTAGTTTCAGGGTAGCGAGTGGCCTCGTCATTTTACCTGTCAGCTTGCGGTTTAGGGCTCTACCGTAATACGCAGTGTATGAGCGACCGCGAAATACCTGCGGCTGGAATAACCGCTCCTTCTGACTGGCTTGACCGCCGTCAAAGTTCTCTTTTTTTACTACTTCGTCATAATTTGCTTCACCTTTGCAGGGATGGATTTTAATGCAGGGATTTGGATTTTTTCGGGTCTCGCCGGGTTCGGGCAAAGATCTTCAGCTCTAATGCAGACCTCTCGTTCATATTAACCACGTCTCCCTTCTGTTCAGTCTAAACTGCCAAACTGCAGGACACTTTGAAGCGCGACTCGTCACGTCACCTCTCCCTGTCCCTCTCTCCCTGTCCCTCTCACCCTCTCCCCCTCCCTCTTCCTCTATCTCTCTCCTCCACACTGTCCCGTGATGACAACCACACACACGTTTTTTAGGCATTAAATAAAGGATATTTAATACTTTATGACGGTATAACGGTATTGAAACTGACACCGTTGCTATTTTTAGATCCCGCGGTATACCATAATACCGTAATATCGCCCAAGCCTAAGTCACAGTAAAATCAAATACTGAATTGAAACTTTTTAAAATCCTGAATCAATATTGGAGTTAGTTTTGCTGCTGGAGGAAGGACACCATAGCTGTATTTCTTTTAGACAGGTAAAATTTTGTCTTAAAACTCTGAGGCTCCGTTTACACTAGTGCGTTTTAGTTTTAAAACGGCGTTTTAGAATGAAAACGATTCGTGTTCACACTCGCGATTTACTCAGCGTTTTTGAACAGCTCTCCGTCCACACCAAAACGCTGAAAACGCACATCACGTGACCACACACACGCTCTCTGGCAAGCGCTGCAGCATTTCTACCCAGATGAGAGCTGTGCTGGTCGGACTGCGCATCAAGCATCTCCCGCTGGATCTAATCTCACTATATTTGCTAAACGTGATATTTAATTCATCTTGTTTTCTATATCTAACGACATATTCCCTGACTTTGGTCTTTTGAATCGATTACTTGTTCACAGATATTGTGTTTTGGCTGAGCGCAAAGATAAGTTAATAATTAATGTAACCACGTACATTCTGTATACTGACTGATTGCTTGCCTTTATTTCCTATAATGTATAAACTTATTGTGCGTTATACTTTCATAATGGCTATTATTGTTTATTAAAACTGACATTCAGCAAAGCAGAGGATACGTTTCGTATTTTCAATGAAAATGAAAGGAGGCAGTGATGTTATATAGGCTCTGTTTTATTTACGAAAACGCATTAGTGTAAACACGGCCTTAGTTGCGCAGAGCTGATGTAGATTGTGTTGTTATGAATGGGTTATATGCACAGAAGTGTTGTTCAGCCACTGAAATCTCCCCGTGAAAGATTGATGTGACTATTTCAGTTTCACAAGGTCCTTTTACAAGATCGATAATGCCGATTTATATTTAATTTAATTTAACAACAAAACATCAGTCAATAGCACTATTCCGCCTAGCCTGCTTTACTGAGCTGAAGTTGCTTTTATTTTCACATTGGTTCATTTCTGATCAATGACAGCCTATGACGCGCTCCCTATATTGTTCAGCATGCTACTCTGAATATTCGCTCTGAAATAGCATGTAAGTGTAGCCAGCCAAACACTAACTACATTACTAACTGGCGAATGACATGAACTAGTCGGTTGTCTGCTGTGGTGTCGGGGTGTGCGCGTTTTTGATTTCAGGAGGCGTGGCTTTGAAACACAGTCACTCCCCTGCCGTCCAAACATAATATGCCAACCGGTTAGCATTTTGGCAGATCACCTACTGCACCTTTAAGAAATTAATATTTTGGCTACAGAACAAACTATTGTTATCCAGTGACTTGTCTAATCAGCCATTCCACCCTGCAAAAACACATTTTAGGGAGGTGTATTCCTTCTTATATAGTATCCATAGTAGGAACAAAAAAAAACAATGCTGTGAATTGACAATGGCAATACTATGAATGTCAAATTTATGGAATACTTCAGATTTTTTTTGTGAGTTTAAAAGAAAAGAGGGACTCCAAACTTTTTTTTTTTTTTTTTTTTTTTAGGGGGAGTAAATAACGACAGTTTTTATTTTGGGGTGAACGATCCCTTTAAATCAGCTGCAGTCAAGCTGTTTATTATATCATTATAATATTTCATGTTTATTTATATTTTTGCTCCAGGTCTGTGCGACTATCACTGACCTTGTTGTTGTCATTGATGAGCTGCAGTGTGAGTCTGGAGTCGCTCAGCTCCAGTGTGTCCAGCAGAGCTCTGTACGGGGACTGACCTGGCTTCAGCTCCCTCTGGCGCCTGTAAACACACACATTCACACACTTAAGACCCAACAAAAACCCTGATAGCCACAAACCTCTGTGATTGGCTCGTTCACAACAGCGTTTAGAAAAGTAACATGTTACACGCGCCAACGCCGTACATTCATTTTCAGACTCAGACTACCTCCGTTTTTATACTAATTCATCGCGTTTTTACCACCAATATATCATGAATTTTAAAGATACTCACTTGCAAAATGAGCTCTGGTCGCATGTTTTGAAGTTACTGCGGTCCACAGCCTGAGCGCTCACAAACAGCAGAAACAGCAGCAAAACAAAGCTGAAACACAATAGCAGAGTTCACAAAACAAACACCCGTGCAGACACTGCAGCTAACGCATTCAGTTGCACCAAAAACAGATGGAAATGCTGTAAATAAAACCGATAAACACATAACAGTACCATAGTTCCACAACAGCAGTCATTTGCATTGAATCGTGGCTAACGTAAAGGATTAATTTACAAGCTGTAAATTGATATGAGTGTTACATGAGCAAATCTAATGGGTTACGCTAATAAAGAGCATTTCAAACGGTTAAGTCTTTGATTTTATGCACACTTAATCCTATTAGTCTGTCTGAGCGTTACAATACCTGTCACAGGAAGCCGCCATCTTGCCTCCATGTGAACTTTGCCCCTGCGCGCATCCGTGAGCTGGCGGATGTGTGCACGTGCACTTTTTTGCAAATGTTTGAGCTTGTATAACATTTGATGTAAAGTCATAATGAAGTAAATAATAATATTAACTAAATAATAATTTAGACATTGACAGTCAAGCACTGAATTTGAATTTTTAGGGTTACACAGATGGTTCCCACCCCCAAAAATCGCATTGATGTTAATTATTATTATATGTAAATTCAGGGTTACTTATTTCTTCGGTTTAATAGAAATGTGATTGGACATGTGTGTTATATGCATGTATTGTTCCCCACATGGGTGTGAAAACGGACAATATGCACAGCTAATGTTTCTCAGCCAATGATGAACTTCCAGTGAAAGGTTTATGTTTTCAATTTTATAAGGTTCTTAATTTTTACAGCATCGATGTTGTAAAGTAATTAAAATACAATCAGTTAAATAGACTTAAGCATTCAATTGGTTTTTAAAGCGTAAAAAGAGACGAAAAGTTGCCGTCATTAGCAGCAGGCTAGCGCAGAAACTCTATTGCACAGGTGTCAAACTCAGTTCCTAAAGGGCCGCAGCTCTGCACAGTTTAGTTCCAACCCTAATTAAACACACCTGATCAAACTAATTGAGTCCTTCAGGCTTGTTTGAAACCTACAGGTAATGTGTTGGAGCAGGGTTGGAACTAAACTGTGCAGGGCTTCGGCCCTCCAGGAATTGAGTTTGACACCCCTGCTCTATTGGAAATACTGAGGTAAAATTAAGTTCCATATTTGAAAGAAATGGCATGGAAAAATATAATTTAATGCAGTGCTTCTTGTTTGGTCTGATACCCACTTTATAGTTATCGTATCTCAGCCAGGCAGCGATGATTGCTGTTTTTTTAAAGAAATCTGATCTTAAACGCTGCGATTTTATTTGGGATGACAATGCGCTATATGCACAGCAAGCGTTTTTCAACCAATGATGAACTTCCGGTGAAAGCTTTATGTGACTATTTTCAATTTCATAAGGTTTCTTTTACAGGATTGATGTTGTAATGTAATTCAAATATATGGAGTTACATGGACTTAAGCATTCATTTGGTTGTTAAAGCGTAAAAAGAGACGAAGGACCATTAACGTTGATTCCGTCATTAGCAGCAGGCTAACGCAGAAACTTCATTGAAAATACTTGCTTCTTGTTTGGTATGATACCCATTTTATATCGTAATTCAGCCAGGCAATGATGATCGCTGTTTTTTTTTTTTTTTTAAGAAATCAGATCTTAAATGCTGCGATTTAAATGGGACAAAAATTAACTAAAAGCCCTCAGGATGGCTGACTGAAATTAAAAGTCTGTGTGCATATATCTCATTGATACTATTAAAAAGTGTAACATTTGACTGCGTCAGTCACACGGTAACAAAAAAGCAGTTAATTTATTCTCTCTTTATTTAATTTATCGAATGCTTGGAAAAAATTAACAACAATGTCATCAATCACGCAACAGTCCCGGTTTCTTCACTCATTTTAGTCCTATTAAAACGAGTCATTAATCAAAGTATTTCGCCTTAATACTTTTAGGTTTGTTGATCCCTCAATGGGGGCAACATGGTGACTCTGTGGTTAGCACTGTCGCCTCACAGCAAGAAGGTCGCTAGTTCAAGTCCCAGCTGGGTCAGTTGGCATTTCTGTGTGGAGTTTGCGTGTTCTCCACATGTTGGCGTGGGTTTCCCCCCACAGTCCAAACACATGTGAAATGAATAAACTAAATTGGCCGTAGTCTATGTGTTTGAATGGATGTTTCCCAGTACTGGGTTGCAGCTAAAAGCATATGCTGGAATAGTTGGCGATTCATTGTGCTGTGGCAATCCCTGATGAATAAAGGGACTAATTCAAAGGAAAATGAATAGTTTGTACTATCACTGACTGAGGTTTACTTTCTATTTAATCGACATTTTGGAATATTGCATAAAAATGTCTAATGGAAATGCCAAGATGTGCATACATTTTTAAAATATGCATAAAAATCGTATGCACACAATTGAGTGGGATAAACTTTGACAAAAATCAACAAACGTGGAACTTTTAAAACAACATTATGTTGGACTGTTTTTCAAACTTTCAAGCCAGGGTTTCACAGACAAACATCAAAGTTGATATATAAATATAATATATAGTCTATAGTCAAGATAAGTTTAGACAAAATTATTAAATCTGTACTGAAAACAGTATCTTAATTTTCTTTTATATATTTGTAATCAATATTTTTATGCATTTCCCCCTTTCTTTCCAATGTATTTAGCCTGTATTTTTCGCCATATTTTTCGCTAAAAGCGTGATTTTTGGGGGGGAATGTACAAAAATTTGGAAATAAGTTTTTTTTTTTTTTAATGAAACTGGAAAGGTCAACCCAAAACACTTTACAGTAAGTACACTCCCAAAATAAACTATTTAGCGTTTCGTCATGAGTACAAAATGAGCATTTATAATAAATATTGTTATTAAATTGAGCTAGTTTGGTATTTGATTGAGACTTCGACAGCTTGTTTGTAAAAAAACTTTCGACCATGTGCTGGACCATAGACTTGGTGGCTCCTCCCTCATTACTCAAAGCCGTCAGACGATTGGCTGTATTCTGTCGAGTAGATGACGTTTTCGCTAGTATAAATCAACCGGAGTGCCTGTTCGTCCTTCTCTATGTCTCAGCGTCCACCAAGAAAAGTCTGAAGGTATGCAGTGTCTCTTGCTTTTTTGTGTTAGGTTCGAGTCAATGAGTGACATTGAAGCTTTATAATGCTCTTATTCTATAAGCATTTGACTACGGACCTCCATTCTTGGCATGCTCGCGGTTGTCTGTACGCTTGTGTGAATATACGGAGGTATATCAGCGCCAGTGCAATGTCTTCGGTGCCAGCATGTGCCCATCAGCTGGTTCTATCCTCAATCACTGGAACACTGTTTAATTAGCTTTCAGTTTGGTGTAAAACTAGCTTTAACTGAACCGTTTTCTAACTATATTGACATTTTATTCTTCAGGTTTTGTTTATCGTCGGGACACGTGTTTGGAGCAACTGACCAGAAGCTACATCCGGTATTACAGGAGTTGGGGGCATTCTCCCCCCACTTTTAAAAGCTTTTCACATCTGTCGTGCTGTTTGTTGTAAATCAGTATTTAATTTGAATGAATCTACTTGCTATTGTTTTAGCTTAATAGTTTGTGTTGGCAGTTTACAGTATTAGAGTTTTTGAATGTCATTTTTAATCTTGTGTTCCTCAAATGTGGTTTTGATGTAGCATTTACTATTAGACATTTAGGTGAAGTTGGTTTTATATTCACATTTTCACTGAGCACTTGGTAATGGTAACAATTGTTAATCATGCTACTTTGAATATCCGTGTGTGTGTGTCACATCAGCACAATTGAATTAACCAAACAATTCTGTACTATTAATCATTGGCTGCTAATAGGACTTCCCCATTTAAAATTAGCAAAGAATACTTAAGGAGTTATATATATATATATATATATATATATATATATATATATATATATATAATATTAAAACGACTTCATCCTTGTCTTTTAGAAATGTAGCTTTATTATTAATACACTTGGAGAAATTTAACATTGGTAGACTGCCACAAGAGGGTATCCTTTGTAAATGTATAGTTCTTTACATGGTTGACTTGAAATAAAGAAAATTGTCAGAAAATGCTTGCACGTGTTCTGCTTTTTAAAATTTAAAGATTACCACATGCTTTAAATTTTTACAGTTTTACACCATATGATTTTTCACTGCAAATACATAAAATGCAAAACACTGGAAAGTAGGTTATATTTCTCAGACCTGGGGGCTATTTCATAAAAGTTGGGATTAAAGTCAAAAGCCTGACTTCAATGAGCTGAACTAAACGTCCACGCTTAAATTGGTTTCATAACAGCAAGTTGAAGATCATTTGATCTAACTAGTCTGAGTTCAGTTTAAATAACCTAGATAACTCATGCACGTTTCTGTCATGAAACCTTAAGAGTCAAGCATAGATGCATCGATTATCCTGCATATTTTAGTTCCAACGCCAATTAAACGCACCTGAATCATCTAATCAAGCTCTGCCTATGTATCCTTAACTTCCAGGCAGGTGTGTTAAAGAAAGCTGGAGCTAAACTGTGTAGGACACCAGCCCTCCAGGACCGAGTTTGGGCACCCCTGGCTTATGCACTGACAAAAAGTGTTGCAGAACTGTTGCAAATTATTTGTGCTGAATTAAAACAAACAAAATAAGTTTAATAATGATTCAATTCAGCCCAAATAAATTGTTTACGACCACTTAACGTAAAAAAGTTAAGTAAATCCAAGGAATCATCTTTTTTTTCAGTGTACAACTGCTTTAGATGATACAATGAGTTTAAGAATCTACATTTAGGAAATGTAAATGCAAAAAAATTAATAAAAAAAGCAAGTATTTAATCTTTTTTTAAGGTATATAGCTGTAGAAAATGTACCAAGTATAATAGGGCTATCTGTACAACTTGAAACGTGTTTTTTTTAAGTCACTGGTGCACAAGTATCCTATATAATTGGTTTGTCAAGCCCACTCACCAACATGAACACTAGTTTCTAATTTGATTCCAGCAAATTCCTAAAAGTGAAGCAGCAGTTATTGTTTTTGAAAGCCAACTGTGTGTAAAGTAATTTTTGCATGTCAATTCCACACCGAAGGATATTCAAATAAGTGAATGATCTAATTAAATCTGACATTATACTTGTATGGTTAACTTGCTGTACAAACGAGAAATAAAAATATTTAAAAGTATTAACAATTCAGTTGCTTTATTTATGATGAAAACCATGATCTGTGAAGCTTTTTGTTTCACATAAAAGAGATGGCGACTAATGTGACCAAGATGTAGGCTCAAGTTGAAGATGACTGATTTCAAGTTACAGCATTATGGGGTAAACAAGTGCAATAACCCAACCAGTAAATATCACAATTAAAAATTTCTAAATTTTGTAAGTAACTAAAAAAAAACAGTTTTTATTAAGTAACTTAATAAAGAACTGTTAAAAAACTGTTTTTATGTAGAAGTTATGAATTTGATATGATTTAGCTGCACATACTGTAATAAAATATTGAGGTGAAGTGTCATATTCACACATTTGGACTTATAAAAGTATTCTCTGCAAATTCCTAATAGTGAAATTATTTTGGGGAAGACTGCTGGTTCGAGCCTCGGCAGGGTCGGTTCATTTCTGTGTGGAGTTTGCATGTTCTCCCTGTGTTGGCGTGGGTTTCCTCCAGGTGCTCCGGTTTCCCCCACAGTCCAAACACATGCGCTATAGGGGAATTGGATATGCTAAATTAACTGTAGTGTATGTGAGTGTGTATAGATGTTTCCCAGTGATGGGTTGCTGCTGGAAGGGCATTCATTCATTTTCTTGTCGGCTTAGTCCCTTTATTTATCCGGGGTCGCCACAGTGGAATGAACTGCCAACTCATCCGGTAAGTTTTTACGCAGACTGTGGGGGAAACCGGAGCACCCCCACGCGAAGGCAGGAAGAACATGCAAACTCCAAACAGAAACGCCAACTGAGCCGAATTTTGAACCAGCGACCTTCTTGCTGTGAGGCGACAGCACTACCTACTGCGCCACTGCCTCGCCCCGCTGGAAGGGCATTCGCTGCGTAAAACATATGCTGGATAAGTTGGCGGTTCATTCCGCTGTGGCGATCCCTGATTAATAAAGGGAGAAGTAGAAAAGAAAATGAATGAATGAACAATGTATGCATGCACAATTTGATTAGGCCATTTTGTAATAAAAGACAGCACAATCAGTGTATTTTAAGTGTAAGTTATATTTAGCTGGTTTATCTAGAGACGGTCAGTCCTGAAATAAATAATAATATTGACAGATGAGCAAAAGTGTCCATTTAAAAAACCATTTAATCTTTGCATTTTCTTTAAATGACCAGCAGAGGTCAGCATTGCTTCACTGATGCCCTGACAAGAACAAACCCGCCAAAAGAAAATAAAAACCCCAAATATGAAAGTGATGTAGGCCTAATTTACTTAAGTGCGTTTTCTCGGTAGTTATAAATGTATTGTAAGTATTGAAATCCAGTTATTATCTGACAACTCCAAACTTAAAATACACAGACTTAGACATTGTAAAAGAAGTTTAGGCAAGGCAAGTTTATTTATATGGCACATTTCATACACAGTGGCAATTCAAAGTGCTTTACATAAACAAGAACAAAAGAGACAAAAGTAAGAAAATGAAAACAAATATTAAAAATAAAAACTTAAAGATGTTTGGGAGAAGGATATTGGTCAAACTATTGAAGAGAATGACTGGGAAATTGTATGTGAAAATATATATCCGAAGTGTACCTCTCTTTGGATCCATAAGCTTAATTTGAAATTTTTTAATAGGATCTACTTTACTCCAATACGTATTAAGAAAATATTTTATGCCTAATATTTCCATCATGACATAAACTGACTCCTATACATTGTAGTTTATGTAGCTAAATCACCTGGTTTGCGGAATGATTTCGTTTGTTTTTTGGCACCAACTTACTAATAAAAAATGAAGTTACACAAAGTACTTGCCAGTATATGAAGGAGTGTCGTCTTCAGTTCATAACTCTTAGGTGGTTATAAGAACAGCTTGTACCAACTTCTCCTTAAGGAAGATTTGATATACTGTGTAGTATTGTTTAGTGTACGCCCACATATTATGAAGTTCATGATAAATATTGATTTTAAAAAATGGCTCTGAGAAAACTTTATGAAAATATTTGGCTATTTTAGGCACTTTGCACTTTCCCTTATTTATAGCGTACGATTAAGCATTAAGTACATATTTTTTTAAGCCCTGCATAAAGCATAATCAGATTTTAATTTCTGCTCATGTTAATGCATATTAAACCACAGCATTTTAGTTATCATCTTTAATAAAATCATATTAAACCACAGCATTTTAGTTATCATGTTTAATAAAATCATACAAAACCACAAAATTGTAGTTATCATATTAAAACATCATATTTACTCCAGCATATGAGTTTTTTAATTTTATGTCGCATTTATGGTCTACGATTAAGCATTAAATATGAAAAAATGAGGTGTAAACCCTGCATAAAAACCATAAATATATTTAAATTTCTGCTCATTAATCATATGAACAGCATTTTAGTTATCATCTTTAAAAAATCATATTAAACCACAGCATTTGCAATATAATTTCTTCCAATATTTTGTGCCTATTACATAAAATTATTCCTATAAATTTACTGTCGTTTATTTGGGTAAAGACCTGGTGACTTTAAATAAAATATATAATTATTTAAATAAAATAATAAATATTATTAAATAAATATTTTTTTTTACTAAATACATTTAAATAAAATAAATTAAAATCAACAAAAATAAAGTAAGTAACACAAGCCAGTATATGAAGGAGTGTCAAACAGCTTGTACCAACTTAACTTCTCCTTAAGGAAGATTTGATATACTGTGTAGTATTGTTTAGTGTATGCCCACATATTATGATGCTCATGATGAATATTGATTTTAAAAAATGGCTCTTAGAAAACTTTATGAAAATATTTGACCCTTTTAGGCACTTTTTGCACTTTCCTTTAATATTTATAGCCTACGATTAAGCATTAAGTACATATTTTTAAAGCCTTGCATAAAGCCATAACCAAATTTTAATTTCTGCTCATGTTAATGCATATTAAACCACAACATTTTAGTTATCATCTTTAATAAAATCATATTAAACCACAAGATTTAAAACATCAAATTAAACCACAGCATTTGAGTTATTTCATTTTATGTCGCATTTATGGTCTACGATTAAGCTTTAAATATGAAAAAATGAGGTGTAAACCCTGCATAAAACCATAAATATATTAAAATTTCTGCTCATATAAATCATAACAGTGTTTAAGTTATAATTTAAAAAAAAATCATATTAAACCACAGCATTTGCATTTTAATTTCTTCCATTATTTTGTGCCTTTGACATAAAATTATTCCTATAAATTTACTGTCGTTTGTTAGGGTAAAGACCTGGTGACTTTAAATAAATAAAAAAATTATTTGAATAAAAAATAAATATTATTAAATAAATAAAAACAATTTTACTAAATACATTTAAATATAAAAAAAATAAATAAATAAATAAATAACATAAAGTAAATAACACAAGCCAGTTTATGAAGGAGTGTCATCTTCGGTTCATAACTCATAGGTGGTTAAGAACAGCTTGTACCAATGTGGATTTGATGTACGGTACATTGTGATCACAGGTGTGCATTTATTGGCAATTAGACAGCAGCTTTGAATGAGACTCAGATATTACTGAGTTTAATGCACCAGCTAGCAAATATACAGTCATTTCAAGTTATTATTTAATATATTTAGATAGTAAGGGCAGCACGGTGGTGCAAGACAGCAAGTAGGTCGCTGCTTCGAGCCCCGGCTGGGCCAGTTGA